GCTGGCCTGAGTGTGGAGCTCGGTGTGGCCCGGCCAGCTGTCTTTGCTGGCAGCTGCCGAAGCACCAGCATGACTTTGCGTGTGTGCTCCTTCTGCTTTGGCCATGGAGGCAGCAGGAGTCGAGGAGCGCTCTGTTCCCACCCGGGGCCTAGGCAAGCCTTTTTCTATCAGACGCTTCTGAGTTCTGGTATCTGGGGTAAATCACGCACCACTCCCGTGCCTCAGTTTCCCTCCTGGTAGGAAAGGGCTTCTTGCTGTCTTGGCTGTTGTGGGGGTTGCAGGAAATGGGTGACAGTGTCCTGCTAGTGGAACCCTCACGCTTTAGAAATGCCATCCCCACCTATCACTTGTGTCGGGCTGAACAGACAGCTGTGGTCCCCCAGACAGACATTAGTGGGGGCGACATGGTGCTACTGGAGAAAATTGGGAATTGTGATGATTGTTCTGGCGAAGCAGAGGACAGACGGGAGAGGAGCGGGCGTGGCTCCCACACAGAGGGCCCAAGAGGATGGGGGTGCACCGAGGAGGTGGACCAGGTTGTCCAGCTGAGAAAAGTGAGTTGCGCAGGGTCTGGGCAGTGGAGGGCTGGGTGCCGAGGTTAGGCAGTGAGAGGCCCTGCTGCGAGCAGAGGTCGCTGGAGGTTCTGTTCCGACCTCACCCTCACAGTGCCAGCTCTTGGGGAGGCTGAGGCAGGAGGACCCGAAGTTCTGGTGCAACCCAGGAAGTGTGGGGGCTTAGAGCGACAGTAAGGGGCTGGGGCTCAGCGTGGGGGTTCTGGATTCAGTACCCTGCACTGTAGCACCCCCCCCAATTTATAAAAACCAAAATTCAACCTGAAAGCTATTTGACTGCTGGCAGAATTTAGCCTGTGCTAGAACCCTCCCTTCTCACCCGTGGGCTCTGGGGGCCTCATGTGTCCTTGGCATAGCCCTACCAGATCTCAGCGCAGGGCCTTTCTCCCCCACCGTTGCCACCCGCCACCCAGTCCAGGCTCTGGCACAGAAGGAGGGATTATGTACTTGTAACGAACGGCAGCATTTCCTGCTCTTCAGAAAAAGACCAAATGGAAAGCAGAACGTGTTCTGTAGAACCTGACACCATTTGTGTCCCGCCATGCCACAGGAGTGAAGCCCTGTAAGATCTGCAGGCAGATGTTACCTATGAAAATATTTCTTTATTACTGAATTTCCAAAAGGAAATCTTGCTGTATTCACCTGTGATTTCTGGGTGGACCACCCACGGCCCCATTAGACAGGAAGTCTCTGAGCCAGGCACTGTGACCACGGCCCCAGGCTGGTGGCTGCGGAGTGGCTGTGCCCATCCAAGTGCTGGCAGTCCTTGCCAGCTCCGGGTACCAAGGTGCTGCTTCGGGTTCTGCCTCGGCGCCGCAGCCCGAACCTTCCTCTGGAGCGCAGAGCCGGCCCCCAGGGGACCCTGCCTGTTTCGCCAGGATGTTTCATTGGAACCCAGCAGCCTTTCACCCATGCACAGAAGTCTCCTTTGTGGGAAAGGTCAGGTGGCTTCCGCTCCTGGGCCACACCGCACTGTGGATTTTCCACGAGCTGCGGGGTGACTGGCTCTTCCTCCTCTCTGTCCTCGGTACCCACACTGCGCAGAAAGATGTTTTGTGTTGAGCTGTGTTGGCAAGAACTCCCTCCGCAGCGCCGGGCTCCGGGTCAGAGAGGAGGTGGGAGGCTGCAGAAACATTCCTCAGTTCCATCCTGCACAACTGTCCCAGCTGATGGGCTGTGCAGGGAGGGCAGCTTGGCACGTGAGATGAGTGCCGCTGAGCTGAGCAGCAGCACACAGAGGCCTACGGGGCTGTGCTCCCGGCCAGCAGCTCCCGCAGACAGCAGCTCCCACTCTGGCCAGCCGCTTGCTCAGTCTCTGTCCCGATCTTCTGACATCATTGAGAGTCCAGGCTCATGTGGGTCACACGTGACCTTTGACCTTGTGCTTAGCAAACGGGAGACCCCCCCTCAAGTGAGCTGTTGTGTCCATCGGTATGAGCGCGTGAGCTGGCCATCTGGGTTTTTTTAAAGCAATGTAGAATTATTTTTTGAGAATTTTTTAGAAAGATTTTTAAGATGACTACGTAGATTTGAGATCAGTCTTTCAAGTCTTTGAAGTCATAGTGGAATATTCATTTTAAAAAATTAACTTATAACCTTAGCCCTCTGGGAGGCTGAGGCAGGTGGATCCCAAGTTGAAGCCCAGTCTGGCCTACTTAGTGAGTTCCTGTCGTAAAAATAAAAGACAGCTATGGATGTAACTTAATGCTAAGCCTCTGTGTTCAATCCCCAGTAATGCAAGCAGATAAATAAGAAATGAAATAAAAATAAAAGTTGTGTAGGCAACCCTTTTCCTGGTGTGGTGGGGGAAGCCGGTATGCGCCGGTCGCTGTGCAGGTCCGGCAATGGGGCTTCCTGGGCCCCGTCCCTGGGTGGACAGTGTTAGTGGTGTGTGTCGGGAGTCGGGAGGTGGCTTCATCCCAAGGTGCATTGTTCCCTGAGGTGACAGGCGTGGACCTCCTGGTGTTGCGCTGGGGCCTTATTGCAAGGGGAGGCTGTGAGAGTGGAGGGATGGAGGTGGGGAGGGGACAAGGAGCCTGGGGGGGCGGGGGCCCATGGGCTCGTGTGGGAGGAGGTGAAGAAGGTGGCGGCGTGGTGCAGGGAGGGGGCAGGAGGGCATGGGGGTGGCGCAGGTGGAGGCGACGGGCTGGAGGGACAGGAGGTAGATGGAAAGTCCTGACCCGGGAGACGCAGGGGCTCAGGAGAGAGTCACAGCTGCAGTGGAGGCAACAGGCGGTGATTCTGGGATCCCAGGTGAGCTGCAAGGAGGTGGAGGTGATGGAGGCAGAGATGGAGGGGTGGAGGAGGCACAGGTGGAGGCGATGGAGGTGATGGAGGCAGAGATGGAAGGGTGGAGGAGGCACAGGTGGAGGCGATGGAGGTGATGGAAGAGGAGTCAGAGGGGATGGAGGTCGAGGTGATGAGGTAGGGGAGGAGGTAAAGGGAGTGCCGGGCTGGTGGCAGGGGGCAGCGGGCAGGGGCTGCCAGGACAGGCACAGCAGTGAGCCCTCTCGGAGCCCAGCCCGCTTTCTGTACAACCCCGATGCCGCCTAGCTCTGTCCCGAGGTCTCCCCAAGCCCCGAGTGGTCCCCGCTGCTCTCTGCAGCGTCCAGCCGCTGCCTCACCTTGAGGCTGTGCTCCTCTGCTCCCCTCATGGGAAACCGGAGAAACCCGGCCACACACCGACTGGGTGGAGGCGTCTTATTTTGGGAAAACTATTTGTCAAGATTGACAGGCCTGGGCGAGGCTGCTTTGTGGGTGATGGAAGTGCTCTAAAATTAGACCCTGGCGAATGTAGGCAGGCTCTGCGGCTATCCCAGCATCACCGGTCACACACGTCCCGCAGGTGACAGGTGTGTGAGTAACCGCGCAGTCAGGCTGTGGTGGAAAATGAAAGACAGGGATCCCCCTTCCCGAGAATAGCCGAACCGTGCAGACTCTGGAAGAGCGACCCAGAGGCATGCGCTGGCAGCCCTCAGAGGCTCCATGCTGGGGTGCAGGAAAACCAGGGGAACGCTGGGGGCTTTATGTGAGAGGATTTTCACTTCTAAACTGGTGCTTCTTGTGGCTCAGGAGGAAAGTTCTTTCCATTCTGATCTTAGGATTCACAGGGCACTTCCTGTTCAAGTCGCGGTCTTAGTACAGCCCAGAGCAGCGCGCCTCCGGGCCCCTGCGCAGTGTGTTTCCCGCTGTCTTCACAGCTCAGCTTCCCAGGATGAGCTCTGCACAGAGTGTTAGGGCCAGTTAACCTGCTTCTCTGCTTTGAAATCTCAAGTTTCCTCTGCTTTTACATAGACACAGAACACAGAGTTGAAACAGGCACTGCCCTTCGGGGCAAAAAACACCAAAGTAGCTCCAGCTCCTTTTTGCCCAGGGCTGTTTCAGCTTCCATTTTTGAAGGCAGCAATTTCACTCTCATTGCAGCTGGTGCCCTGGGCATCGAGGCCGCAGCTCCTGCAGTGCTGTCTGAAGCCGAGGGGTTCGAGTGGCCGTTCAGGTGGCCTGCTCTGTGCTCATGGTTCGGAGCCTGTTCTCTGGGCATCCCCAGTTTTCACCTGGGGATGTGAGTGGCAACGCCAGGGGCCAGGTGCACTTTGGCTTGCCCAGCCGTACAAAAGGGCAAAGGACAGGCTGCGTCGCCAGACAGGTTTCAAAGAGAAAGGAAGTAAATGGTGAGACCCCGCCAGCCTGGTCCTTGGGAAGCACAAGCAGTCTCCTCACTTGCTTGTCCCCGGGCAGGCTGTGCAGGGATTTCCTATTCCACCCGTGCAACCAGAGGGTAGGGAGAGTTGGGGCGAGCCAGGAGGGGTCTCCCATTGAGAACCTCGGGGCCAAGTCCTCCGGCGTGGCTCCGCCTCCAGCAACCTGTTCAGCTGTGGACTCCAGGGTGACAGCCTCCGGTGCGCCTCTGGGAGCCGGTGTCTCAGCACATCCTCTAAGCGGGCCGGACTTTGACTTCCCGGAGTCCATGCAGGGTGTTCTGCTGTGGGAAGCCCTGGCATCTAATGAGCAGTGCCTACAACTGGGGTCATGGAGTTTGGAGACCCCCTTAGCCCTTCCCTGGAAGGGCCAGAACTGTAATTTAGGGCTGTGATCTAAAAAGCTAACCTGGCCATCAAAGAGAGATCCGCCTGTCCTTGCCGGTGCTGGGCCTCCCGCGGCTGTGCAAGACTTTGATAGCTCTGACCGCTGGGCCGCCCTGCCCTAACTGGGAGCAGACCTTAGACCAGAGCGGATGCCCTGTAGGGGAAGCCGTGCCAGTACAGATGAGCCTGCCGGTCGGTCGTGTCTGGATAGTGGCTGGACAGCTGCCCCTCTCCAGGCTGCACAGTTGCTTTTCTTTGTTTTTTCTCCTTTTTTACTTGGGGTTGAATGCGGGTTTTTCACACAGAGCTACATCCCAGGTCTTTGTTTATCTTTTATTTTGAGACAGGGTCTTGCTGAGCCACTCAGTTGCCCAGGCGGAGCTCCACCTCGCCACCTGCCTGCCTCAGCCTCCCTGAGTGCTGGGGGGTTGGACTTATGCTTCCACGCCCATCTAAGAATTACAAATTAATGCCACAGTCGCTGGTGAGTTTTCTCTGCTACCTTTTGTGTTTCTGCTTTCTTTTCCAAACACAATCCTACTTTTACAGGTTGAGGATTCCTAATCCCAAAATTCAAAATCTCAAGTGCTTCAAAATTCAGTGCTCTTTGGGCCCCCGTATGTGGCCGCATGTGGGAAGTTGCCCTCTGTGAAACTTTGTTTCAGACACAAAACTATTAAAAATATTGCCTTCAGGTGATGTGGATAAGGTGTGTAGGAGGCATACGTCAATCTTCCGTTTAGATTTGGGCTCAAAAAAAAAAATAAAATAAAATAGAAGATTTGGGTTCAATCCTAAGACACCTTCTTGTGTAGACATACATATTCCAAAATCTGAAAAAAAAAGACTGAAGTCAAAACCCTTCCGGGGCCCAGGAATTATAACTCAGGGGCACAGCGCCTGCACGGCCAGCATGAGGTCATGAGTTTGATTCCTGGTACCACCCCTTGAAAAAAACAAAAACAAAAACACCACTTCTGGTCCTAAATATTTTGGGTAAGGGATGCTGAACCTGTATTAAATCTTTCTTGGTTTCTCAAGGGTATGGAATTCTTATCCTGAACTCCTGTCTGCTAAATTTTAAAAGGCACATTTATGTTTTTGAGCTATGGAATTTGTGTGAGAGAGAGAGAGTGTGTGTGTGTGTGTGTGTGTGTGTGTGTGTAGTCACGGGGCATGAACCCGGGGCCTAAACACTGGGCTCCATCCCCAGCCCTTTCTGTCTTATTTTGAGAGCAGGTCATGCCAGGTTGCCTCGGCTGACTGTTTACTGCACCTAGCTCAGCTTCCCAGAGTGCTGGGATACAGCCCCCCAACCAGCCCCCTTCTGCACCCGGCCAGGAGGGCATTTCTAGAACATAGCGAGTCCCAGCCGGCGGCCCAGGGCTTGCCTCTGCTCCGGGTAGAAGGGCGCATGAGGTGAGGAGGCCTCTGACCATGTGCGTCCAGCAGCAGGCAGCTGACACACACGACCTTTGGCCCCGCCTTGGAGCTTCTAAGGATCAGCAGCGAATAATCAGAAATGTGTGCAAGACTGTGCCCAGAGGCATGTGTTTGATCATTATTTATGTGATGTTGATGTTGCAAACCATCAGAAAGTATCTAGGATGGTAGTTTTAGTATAAAAAAAAAAAATGGTATTTACCAAGGCTTAAGAATCACTTCATATCATGTTAATTGCAGAGGCCAAAGCAGCTGGGAACAAAACACAAAATAGCTCACACAACCCGATTTCCAGTGTCTGCTCGTGTCGGAAAAGCAGGCTGAGAGCACACGTGCACTGGTAGCCTCTGCCCACTCGCGGGCTGACCTGAGGCCCCACTCTGGCTACCAATATGGTTTTATAATTATATTTCCTGCACTGTTTTAAGAAAAGAGGAGAAAAGAGTCCCTGATGGGAGGTGAAGAGCGGATTGAGCAGGCGCGCTTGCCAAGAGTTGCAGGGAGCCAAGGGGCAGCCCTGGTGACGGGGGGCTGAGAGCATCCCCCTTCCCAGCCAGTCCCGCTCCTTGGCAGCGTCTAGGAAGGCCTTCATGCACCCCTGCCCCGGCCATCCGTGCCCCCGCAGTCGCTCTCACCTCCCTCGTCAGAAGCAGGAGCTGTGGTCAGCCTTCTTTCACCGTACCAAATGCCCGCAGTGGTGACCTCCAAGGGGGAGTCCATTGCGGCTCATGGTCTCGTGCCCTTGACGCTCTGCACCTCTGGTGACACTGTGCGTCATGGCAGAGGGGCCTGTCCACCTCCAGGCAGCCAGGAAACGAGAGGTAAGGGGGTGGGGTCTCCGTGTGCCCTTCGCAGGCTGCCCCGGTCACCTTGCTTCCTCCACCAGGACAGAAACCAGACTCCATATGCGGCCTTTGGGGACTCCAGACCCAGCCTGCCTCCGCCGCCGCCTCCACCAAGAAAGAAGGCGGGGGCGGGGGCTCTGGCATCAGCTGTGGACAATCCCCAATCTCTGACGCTTCAGCCTCACGACATGTTGACCTACAACCGTAACAGAGGGGTATGCATTGAGTGGAAACCGTGCTTTGAATCTTGAGTTTGACTCCTTCCCTGGGCTGCTGCAGGCTGTCCGATGCTGTCCTGTGACCCTGGGCAGGGACAGCAAGACACAGTTCCCTGTCGGCTCCTGGGAGCTGCCAGTTTGCTCCAGTGGGTGCTGTTTAGAGGTGTGCCGGTTGGTAGGGCATGTGTAGGGGATTGTACTCCTCGCTCCGAGCCCTGCCACTCCATTCACATGTGGTAGGGCTCGTGGAGTTGAGCATGCAAATCGAGGGTCTGTGCTCTCTTGACGGTGATGGGGGTAAGTAAGGGCACAGTGCCGCACGGTGGGTCTTTGGGCTTGGCTCCCCTCCAGGCACAGTTCCAGGTGTGTCTAGCTACCCTGGCACTGTAAACACTTCCCAGAGTGCACTCATCCGTAAGAGGGCCTGGCACCTGCCACCACATGTGAATCGCTGTGGGTTTCGTAAGCACATGAGTGTTCAAAGCCGTATTTCTCCCATATTTTAGTGATTTTTCTGCTAGCTAGATTGAGTTTGCAGGCAGATGTTTTTCTAGAGTTCTGGGTCTCGAAACTGCTGTCACCTGAAATTTCCCTCATCTTTCCGAAGTCACGCTGAGCTCCTCCCGCCATGCGGAGGGAACATTGCTAAGCAGTGTCTCAATCCGCATAGCAGAAGGTCACAGCTGGGTGACCAGTCATTGCTATGGAAAGCATGTGGGTTCGTGGGAGAGAAATCTCACGATATTTAAATGTCTGCATCTGACCTATTTCACTTGGCGTTCGGTCCTGCGGCCCACACAGCTGCTCCTTGCGAGGTCTCTTCTCTAGTGACCCATGCACACGCGGGCTTGCAATAGCTAAATTTTGGAAGCAACCTAGGTGTCTGTCGAGGCTGAATAGATAAAGAGACGGCGTCTACACACAGTGGAGCGCTACTGTGCTGCGCAGAAGGATAAGCCTGAGTCATGAGTAGGAAGATGGATGCACGCTGAGACTGCAGTGTTAAGTGAAATCAGTCAGGCCCACAAGCTTAGATACTGCACGGCTGCTTTTGTATGAGAAGGCGGAGCATGACTAAAGAGCAGAGTGAGAGACAACAGCAAGTAGGGAGGTCCTTTTCACAGGCGAGGATAAGGAGACAGGAAAAGATAATCGAAGGAAAACAAGGAAATAGACCTTTTATAAGTGGAGGGGGACCGGGAGTCGGGAGGACCGGGAGAGATGGGCAGGATGGGGTGAGAGAGGAGGTACCGTGAGCTCCGGCCACGCATAAGTTCCCGATAACCGTACGCACTGCAAATGGGACTAATAAAAAAATAAGGACATACAAATACAGAGCAAATAAGGAAAGCTGGAAGGGGCGGGAGGGACAGGGTGCTTCAGGATGCAAAGTGGATAGGAGGGCAGGAGCTGAAGTGGTGAGAGGCGTGAGCGCACCCGTGCCCGGAGGTGGCCCTCAGCAGCGTCTGGGGCTGCGCAGGGTGTGTCCGCTCACTGCGAGGGCTGAGCCAGTGGCCGCGCTCCTTCCGAGTCACTGTCCAGAGAGGACTGCTTAAGCCGAAAAGGCAGGAGTAACTAATGGTCCTCCTAGCTCTTCCGCACCTTTTCCGAATTGGTTTCCTTTTGAGTGTAATTCACGCCGTGGCTCGCTCAGACTGTCCCCAACAGCCACGCTGGGAAGTGCGGCAGCCCCTAACGCCTGTGTCTTTCCCTTAGGACAAAGTGGAGCCTGCACCCCAGAATCCCGGAGACCTGGCTCCGCCTCGCCTCCCGGCGAAGAAGGGGAAACAACGCCCCGGTAAGGACCCGCAAGAATGGCATAGTGATGACCCTGCTGGGGTGCATGGTCCTGGCGTCGGGGCAGGGGCGGGCTTAGAGTCGGCCGCTGGTCCCACATCCCAGGACACTGCCCCCGAGTTGACGCTGCGTGTGGTGTGCTGCCTCCCAGCACGGGGTGTCCGTGCACTTGGAGCCGTTGCTCAAGGGCGCTAACACCTGGCTCGGTGCAGCACTGCACGCTGGACCGAAGGGAGCACAGCTGCAGCGCGTGCAGGGTGCAGCTTGTGTCCTTTCCAACTAGCGATGGTTTGTGGTTGGTAGAGCCCATGAATGTGAGACCCGGGGTAGTGGCGGACAGCTGTGTGTTCTAGAAAGTTCTAGATGCTCAGAGCAAGCTCCCGATGTTGAGTCTTCCTTTCCCTTAAGGAAAAACAAGCAGCTCATTCACTAAATATAAACAGAATGTGTATTACATTTTCCTACTCATGATAGAATGGGATAAATAACAGCAGAACTCATACGAGGCCCGGCCTGAGAAGGAGCCTTCTTTGTCTGTTAAATTCATGTGTCAGAATCCTACCACACGCAGCATAAGCTAAAATATTAGTCTTGCCCAGGAAAATCCAGAATTAGACGAGGACTAATGTCCAGAACACTAGTTGTTCCGAGAGAGCTTAGGCAGCGCGATGTGGGATGCAGGGACAAGAACAGACGCTGCGGAGAAGAGGCGAAATCTGGGCCTGTTTGTAAATAGTATAGTTGTTCCAAAATAAGTCCGTACAGAGACCCAGACAGCGCTTTGCAGATGGGTAGGCGCTCCCAAGCTAGCAGCTGCGGGGTGAGAGGACCATGTAGCATCTAATGGTATTTTTAGACCTAGTAGGAAGCCGGAAATGTTAACAGAAAAAGACATCCCACGTACAGTAGTAAGAGAAATTGTGAAGTACCCAGGAATGAATGCGAGAGTCCCAGCCGTTGCGGCATGCTGCTGCAGAATGTAACCCGAGCACTCTGGGAGGATGAGGCAGGAGGACTGCAGGTCCAAGCCCAGCCGAGGCAGCTCAGTGACTTAGTGAGTCCCCATCTCAGAATGAAAAGAAAGGCTGAGGACATAGCTCAGCGCGAAGGCCCTGGACCCAATCCTCAGTGCTGTGAAACAAAGGACTTCCAGCCCTGAAGGAGCAGAGGGCCGGCAGTTTCAGACTCACAAGGGCTTCCCCTGTTCAACACGGAAGAGCTGAAGTCAGAGCCAGCCAGGGAGAAAGAGCAAGGTGTGTGGCGGGTGAGAGATAGAAGGGGAGGTTCCTGCAGACAGTACAGCCAGGACCAGAGGGACAGACTCAGGTAGGCAGACAGGCCAGTGCAGCATGGGGGTCCCAGCACCAGGGCTGGGGGTGTGAGTTGGGGGCCCGGCCACACTCTGAGCCTAGTGCTCAGGTGGGGTAAGTCAGTAGCCAAGTGAAAGCCCACCCTGCCTTTTATTTACTTGAGTAGTGATGACAACAGGAAGTAGCCAGGTAGACAAGCTGAGCGAGTGTGCCCACGAGCTGCAGGACGTCCCCTACCATCCCAGGAGAAGCGGGAAAGCACTCCACATGGTGGAAGATGCCAGGTGTCCCCAGGCCGGGTGGAGCATGGGTTGGGGAGCCTGCAGGGCTTATGGCTGCCCCTGTTCCTCTCCTGAGTGCATGCTGTGCCCCCTCCTGGTGCCTGGAAGCGCTGCAGCATGCAGGACCCCGCGAGAGGAGGGAACATCCACCCGCGCCCGCCCTAGGCTGGGTGCCCTCTTCCCCGCTTACACGACAGAGGCACAGCCATCTCTGTGCACAGAGGCCTTATGCTTGTGCATGCTTCAGTCCCCACTGCTGTGCGAGGGCCAGGGGCCTGATGTTCAGCATAAAAGATTAGCCGTGACTTTCCTTGACCTGGTACTTCTGTCTGCTCAAGAGGATTTATTGCTCTTGTTTTACTGCCTCATTCCTAACATAAGCTGCTTATTTTTATGTGACAGTTGCTAAAAATGCTTCCCACCTTTCTTAGCAGCAGCGTGCAGGAATGGAGGCGTTTTCCTCTGAGAGTGAGTGGGCCGGGAAGAGCAGGGGGTGCGCTAGATGGCTTCTGTGAAATGTTTCCTCGTTGTGGTGGAAGTACATGGGACGGAAGTTACCACCGTAAGCACAAGGAAGGGTACAGGGGGTGGCACGGACAGACAACGGTTTGTCATTTCTTTTGAAAGCCCTCCTAGCACCCGGAAGAGACCCTCCGCACGCCCCGAGCAGCCCTGCCTTCCTTCCCCCAGCCCTGGGTGATCCTGGCTGAGCTTTCTGTGCCCGGGAGTTTGTGGAATCCAGGGAACTCTGAGGAATCCCGCGGTGTGGTCACCTTCCCACCTCAGGGCACAGCAGCTGACACCCACAACCCGGAGCAGGAGAACCTTGCTGCGGCAGCCCACGGCTCCCCTCCATGGTCAGCTGGCTCTGAGGCAGAAAGGGCGGGGAAAGTCCTGGCAGCAGGAAGTCAGAAAGTAACTCGGTGGCGGCATGCAGTTCCCGAGGCTGAGTGTTGAGGAGGGCGGCAGAGAGAAGCTGTCAAGACCAGCGCTGCTTTACATAGTGTGTTACCTCTTTTCTCAGAGAGCATACTCGTGTGTGTGTGTGTGCATGCATGTGCACGCCTGTACACATGGTACTGGGAATTGACTCCAGGCCTTCCCACTGGACTACACTCCCAGTCCCCTTTGCTTTTTATTTTGAGACAGAAGCTCACTAAGTTACCCCAGCTGGCCCTGGGTGCTGGGGTTGGGGGCACTGCCCACCCCACCTGAGGGTCTCGTCCATTTCTTGAGGACATTCACCCCACCTCACTTACCCTGAAGGTCCACTTATGGCTCTTCCCAGAGTCATACATCATAGATACTTGATTCAGGAGATTCTGAACTCACATGTCATAAATAGACCCGAGCTGTCCAGACAGCTCCAAGTGCTCTGCCCTGCACCCAAGTGGGATGCGCAGTTATTTCGAGCACGCGGAGATAAAGCCAGCCCGCGCAGCCCCTCCCTTCCTGCAGAGTGCTCACAGGATGTGAGGGGCCAGGTCACTGAGCGGATACAAAAGTCAACCAAAGAGACGCCGGGTCTTCTTACAGTCCTGTTCTCACGGGATAACTGAGGCCCGTACTCACCCTGCTTTCTGCGATGGGAGATGCGCCGTGCCCTGGTGGTAGCAGTGTGGGCATGAGTCGGAAGTCGTGCTCGGCGGTCCCAGGTAGCATCACGGTCGCGCAGCCTGCTCAGTTTGTCGTGTTTCTTTCTTCTTGATTTTTATGGTATTTTTTCACTTCATAGGAAATCGTCTGGGGGTACTGGTATGTAGACATGCGCAGCTCGAGCCTTTCCACCGTCCCTCCCCTTCTCTTCCTCTCAGAGGGCAGCTCTTGGACCCAGTGTTCTTTCAGATTGTTTTTCATGTGCCAATTCCATTACTTTCTGCTCTCCTCTTCATAATTTCTTTCTGTTATTTTCTTTCTTTCTTTTTTTTTTTTTTTAGCAGAACTGGGGATTGAACTCAGGCCCTTGCGCTTGCCAGGCAAATGCTTATTGTACTGAGCCATCTCCCCAGCCCCTTCTTAGCATTATTTTCAGTTTTGATTGTTCTTGTCCTTCTGGGACCTTGGCAAGCATGAATAGGTTATTTTGTTGGAATTGCTCTTTTTTTTTTTTTTAATCTGCACATTTGAAGCTGTCATGTCCTCAGTGCTGTTTCCATCGTGTCCTGTAGGCTCTTGTATGTTGTATTTCTATTTTCATTTGATTTTAGAACTTTGTACACTCATCCCTGACATCCTCAGATCCGTTGATTAGTCAGCAGTGTATTGTTTAATCTCCACGTGTTCGCATAGCTTCTTCAGAGTCTTTTGCTGTTGGTTTCTAGCTGCGTTCTGCTGTTTTCCCATAGTTTGCAGGGGCTTTAAATTTTTTTTGTACTTACGTAGTTATGCTTTATGACCTGTCTTGGGTAGTTTTGTTGTTGCTCAAACAAAATACCCAACTCCTAAAGTCAAAGAGGAAAGATTTATTTTGGCTCATGGTTTATCTTGGTTGCACTCTGTCACCGGCTGGCTCCGAGGCGGTCTGGCGTAGCACAAGGGCCTCTCAGAGGACGTAAAACAGTTCTCAACATGGAAGGTCAAGGGTCAGGAGCAGCAGAAGCAGCAAGCAGCATCAGCAGCCCTCTTTCTGCCCTTGCATTGCACCCCCATCCCACGCGGGGTAGCGCTGACACCCAGGGAGGGTATTCCACCACCCACACCCAGAACCGCACCAGACCGGTTAGTGCAGCGATTTAGTCACCGCGCACCCTTAACCCCAGCGTCACACACTGTAAGTCCAGCCTCCCTGCAGAGCCCCACCTGTGACCACATGAGGCTTTAGGGGCATCTAGCCACAGGCTGTGGCATAACCTAAGATGGTTGATGCTGGAAAAAGTTCTGTGCGTTGTTGAGAAAAACGCGCATGCTGTTGTTAGATCGAATGCTAGCGATTGCTGCCTGCTGGGGGCTGTCGCACTGGCTTGCTTCTTCCTGTTTCTGTTGTTTTTGTGCCTCGGGTGAAGATCAGTAAGGGTGGAGAAGCTATTGCTGCTGTGGAGACCGGGCTGTGTCTCGCTGTCTCCCGGAAGCTAGGCTGGGCAATCACGGTCCTCCTCAGGTACATAGTGTAATGTTTGAGGTTCTTCTTACTGTCCAAGCTCCTGCGTAATCCCTGAGGCCACTCAGAGAAGAGAAAACAGGCTGGAACAGTGTTTAAGACATGCAGATGAACCAAGAATTGGTGTCAAGTAAAAACCAGTGAAAATCAACTACTACGGCACCATTCGCGATAGAGATCAGCAAAAGTAATTTTGTCAAAGGCTCCCTGGTTGTAGACATGCTGTATCACAGTCACTCCATCTACACCACTCTTCACAAAGGAAAGAGACCTACAATAGCGGTGTTTGGACGAGGACAGGCCAAGCAGAACG